CAGCCGGGCATGGTGGTGCATGCCTGTAGTCCCAGCTACACGGGAGGCTGAGGCAGTAGGATCGCTTGAGCCCAGGAATTTGAGGTTGCTGTGAGCTAGGCTGACGCCAAGGTAAGCACTCTAGCCTGGGCAACAAGGCGAGACCCTCTCTCTCAAAAAAAAAAAACAGTTATGCAGGTTCAGAACAAGACTACTCAACTCTTATTTGCCTTCCCTTAGCTCATGAATAATAAAACACAATCCAATAGAAATAATTTTTATTAGTTCATGAATAATAAATAATGTAGTAGAAAATATTTGGTAGAATAATTGAAAGAAAACGTATCATCTTTTAGACTAGAATATGGACATGTTCTTTTTGGGAGACATTTTTATAAAATAAAATCACCATATACTTGTCTACATTTCTGTATGTAGCCGGAAATCAGTAGCTAGAAATATTTCTAGCCACTGAACACCAAAAATGCTAGAAAAAAATATCTAAACTTTATTTTTTATTCATGGCTGAATTCATGGCAAATTAATGAAAACAACTGAAGGCAGTTCAGGAGATGGTAAAATTCTACAGGGTAATTTAGCTTTGGAACTAATAATTGTCCTAACAGCTGCTCATCCCTGGAGCCTAGAATGGCCCCAGTTTAAGAAGACATGCCCACCTGAAGGACTGGAATCAAAGTCAGGACAGTCTCAGTCTTCTCCTGCCATAACAAAATACCACAGGCTGGTGGCTTAAACAACAGACATTTGTTTTCTTATAGATCTGGAGGCAAGAAGTCTAAGATCATGATGCTGGAAAATGTGACTCCTGGTATGGCCCCTCTTCCTGTTTTGCAGGTGGCTGCCTTCTTGCTGTGTCCTCATATGACTTTTCCTCTGTGTGCACAGAAATAGAGAGCGAGCTCTGGTGTCTCTTTCTCTTCTTACAAGGACACTAGTCCTATCAGATTAGGACTCCTCCCTATTACCTCATTTAATGTTAATTACCTCCTTACAGCTCCTATCTCCAAATACAGTCACACTGGGGTTAGGGCTTCAGCCTATGAATTTGGGAGGACACAATTTAGTCTGTAACAGGCACTGAGCTAGATAAGCACTAGGACTAGTAAATCCCCAGAGGGCACTTCAGTAGGTCAACTAGGAAAACACCTAAACTTATTCTTCTTTATTCCAAGTAGAGCTATAAAGGCAGAAAAAAAGTCTCCTTCTTGTAGGAATGCTTCACCACAGCCCAAGAACCACATGTATTTGGTGCTGAAATTCACACTTTATGAGTGTGTGTATGCATGCCCATACACACACGCACACACATGCACGTGCACACACGCATGCATGCACACACACCCATGCACGCACACACACAAGCACTAGGGAGTAGGAGAGGGAGAGGCAGGGAACCCAAAATCAAAAACTGATTTTGGAGTGGTCCAGGGTTTGCAGTGTCTCAAGAAACAAATTCGTGGTAGGAAAAAAAAAAAAATCTTCCCTGCAGGAATATATCTTAAATAAAAAATTTCCAAAAATAAAGTTCAGAGGAAGATGAACTCACAATAAGAAAATCACATTAGAAAACACTGATCACATAAGAAAACAAGTCACCATAATCTTGCTTCAGCAAAAACAACAAACTGTAGATTCAGATCCACAAAAAAGAAAAATATTGAAATTACCACATATAAAATGTAAAATAATATGTTTAAAGAAAAGGAAAAGAGAAGATAATGGAACCATCCCAAATGACTAGGAAAGTTTGAGATAGAACCAAAAAGCACTCTGGAAATGAAAAATCTATAATAACTTTAATTAATAACTCCATAGTTGGATTAAATGGGTTAGAGACAGAAAACAGAATTAATGAAATAGATAATAAAGCAGATTCAGACAGTATCCAGAGTTCAATACATAGAGACAAACAGATGGAAAATATGAAACAAAGATTAAAAGATATGGAGAAGAGAGGGAGATGGTAAAATATAAGTCTAATTAGATTTCCTGAAGGAGAGAATAGAGAGAATGGGGAAGATACAATATTCAAAGAGATAAAATCTGAAATTTTTTCGGAATTCATGAAAGGTACTAATTCTCAGGAAGCTCAAATGAATCCCAATAGGATAATGAAAACAATGCACAGCTAAACACATTGTAGTATAGCAAAATCTGATTGCAGAACACCAAAGATAAAGATCTTAAACATGACTTGAGAGAGAAGACAGGTTAACTACAAGAGAAGACAGGTTAACTACAAAAGAGTATTGATCAGACTGACTTCCATCATCATTGCTTCAGAAGCAACAAAGGAAGCAAAAAGACAGTGGAAGAATATTAAATACTGAAAGAAAATAACTGCCAACCTAGAATTGTATACCCAGCACACTTTCAAGGATAAGAAAATGGTAAACTTCTAGGTAAATCTAAATAAACAATGACTATACAAAATAACTACTTTTGGAGTTAAACCAAAATAGAACTGAAATTTGACAGTAATTTCCAAGGAGAAGAAATCAAACTTTGCTCAAAAGTCTCTACAATGTTTAAGAAGAGAGTAATGATATTAACTCTAGATTTTGTTAACTATGCAAGTTAAACTTCCTAATAAGCACTACAACATAAAAATTGACTCTTTAACTTTTAAACTAGCAGATGTAGATGGAAAAGCAAAACAAAACTCAATCAAAAACAAGGCAAGGGCCGGGCCCAGTGGCTCATGCCTGTAATCCTAGCACTCTGGGAGGCAGAGGTGAGCAGACAGCTTGAAGTCAGGAGTTCGAAACCAGACTGAGCAAGAGCGAGACCCTGTCTCTACTAAAAATAGAAAGAAATTAATTGGTCAACTAAAAATATATAGAAAAACTTAGCCGGGCATAGTGGCGCATGCCTGTAGTCCCAGCTACTTGGGAGGCTGAGGCAGGATTGCTTGAGCCCAGGAGTTTGAGGTTGCTGTGAGCTAGGCTGATGCCACGGCACTCTAGCCCAGGCAACAGAGTGAGACTCTGTCTCAAAAAAAAAAGAAGGCAAGAAAACAAGGGCAGAAGAAACAGAAAAAGTGGAACAAAAAACACAAAATAAGATCGTATGAATAAATCCTAATATATTAATAATTTTGACAAATGTAAATGGATTAAACTCTCTAGTTAAAATATAATCAGATAAAAAATCTAGTTACAATTTTTAAGAGGCATATCTCAAAAATAACAGAAAGATCCAACAAAAGGATAATAAAATATACCATACAAATCTTACAAGCTGGTGTGGCCTATATAAATACATATATATATTAAAAAACCTATCAGTTTTAAAGCACCATAAAATGAACAGATGGTTTTCAAAAGAAGATAGACAAATGGCCAAAAAGCATATGAAGAATTGTGCAACATCACTTATCATCAGGGAAATGAAAATTAAAACCACAATGAGATATTTTCTTACTCCTGTCAGAATGGCAATTATTACAAAGTCAAAAAACAATAGATGTTGATGTGGACAGAGTGAAAGGAACACTTATACACTGTTGGTGGGACTGCAAATTAGTACAATCTCTATGGAAAACAATATGGGGATTCCTCAAAGAAATAAATGTAGACTTACCATTCAATCTAGCAATCCCACTACTGGGTATATCCACCCAAAGGAAAAGAAATCATTTTATCAAAAAAACACCTGCACTCAAATGTTTATTGCAGCACAATTCACAACTGCAAAGATGTGGAATCAACCCATGTGTCCATCAATTCATGAGTGGATTAAGAAAATGTGGTGCATATATCCTATGGACTGCTACTCAGCCATAAAAAAGAATGTCTTTTGCAGCAACTTGGATGGAACTGGAGACCATTATCCTAAGTGAAGTACCTCAGGAATGGAAGTCAAACACCACATGAGCTCACTAACAACTGGGAGCTAATCAATGGGCACACATGGGCACAACGAGATGTAAAGGTCATTGGAAATCAAGAAGGGGTAGGGGGAGGAGTAAAAAGCTACCTATCGGGTACAGTTAACACTATTCAGGTGATGGGGACAGTAAAAGCCTCAGCTTAAGCATTATAAAAAGTATCCATGTATCAAAAATATTTTTATCCCTTTAACATTTTGAAATTTGTTAAAAAAGAAATACAGACATTACTAGAAACAGAGACTATGACTATCAGATTCAATTCTAAACTTGGAAGATAATTCTAAACTTCTAAGTACCTAATAAAACTTCAAAATATATAAAACGAAAATTGGCAGAATTACAGGGAGAAATTAGCAAATCCACTAGAACAGGAAATTTTAATATAGCTCAGAATCTGAGAGATCAAGTAGAAGAAAAAAAGAACAGTAAAAGAGAAAGAATTTGAATGACACAATTAATAACTTTGGTGTAATGGATATCCAATAACTAAAAGGTATACATACTTGTCAAGCACTCATGAAACATTTACAACAATTGATGATATTTAATTAATAGGTCATAAAACAAATCTCAACAGATCAGTCTTCTATCTACCTATTCTCTGACCATAATTCAATTACAGCAGGAATCAAATGCAGAATTTGAAAATCTACATGCTAGGAAATGGGGAAAAAAAGTCTCACACATACATAAGTCAAAAAATAAATCACAATGAAAAATAGAAAATATTTAGAACTTAAATATTTCTATAGTGTTTTAAAATTACAAAAGATTTCATCTGATTACAACAGTCCTGTGAGCTACACAGAACTCATAGTATCTCTGCTTAACAGCACAAACATAGTATAAATGTTGCAAATTATGTAATTATTAAAATTAATTTTTATATATTAATACAATACATATCCAAAATGATTAGGAAACTGGGAAATACAAGCAAAACTATTCACTACAAAAACTATCAAAAGGGAGGTAAGTAAACAGACTCTTTTAGAAGCTATATTGAATAGCCAACCAAGTTACAAAGAAAGAATTGAGTATCTTAATGTTTATTGCTCAAAAGCCCATGAATTCATTTTGGTTTTAGGAAGTCCCTTAGACACTTACATACACAAATTTGTAAGGTAAAGTATTTATTACTCATATGAGATGAACAAAAACTATCAGAAATCCCCACTGCACAAGTTGGGTAGCCACAGTTAAGAGCTTATTCTCCCCTCCCCCTACACACAATCTTGATTTCTTGGTTACATCTGTTCAATGGTGTGTTGGCAATTAATTGCATTTCAAAAAGTGTCTATGGTACAGAGGGAATTTTCATTTAAGGTTCCCTTCCCTTTTGATGCATGGGATATTTTTGGAAATATTTTTTTTTCCATCCACCAAAAGAGAATTAAGAAAATTCCAACATGCCTTGGTGTCAGCAAGTGCTCTTTTTAGTCCAGGTACCAGTGGATGATTGATGAGCCTGTCAAGCCTACAGTAGCGGACAGAGAAAGTTGGCAGAAGTTCAATGTTACTGAAAGAAATCTCAAATACTTATTTCATCTCCTCTATTAACTTTAATCACATTTTCAACATGCAGCCAAGAATGAAGCTTTGACAATAAGCCATAAATTTACACAGGCAAGCATTGTCAATTTTCTGCAGTTGTAACACTGAGATAACACAAGAGAGTTGGATATTTTCTTTCCTGTGCCTTTCTTTACTAAAGAGCAATAAAAAATATTTGAAAGTTTTATCCATACCTCAAATTCTCTTACCATAAATCTCTTGAAATTATTGCATTTATTTTTGCTTGGTTTATGGCAAGTAAAAAAAATCAACTTAGTTCTTCAATTAGATTATTAAATGCAGATTTTTAAAGATCACAGTGATGACAGAATCGGTACATGTTTCATCATAATATACCTGCTTATGAGAACAGACATTAACACTAAACAGGATTTACATTTAACATGGATCATTTGCCATGTGGGCAAACACTTCTGGTTCGTTCAGAGCCAGAATCTTACATGGCTCCAGAGGGACGCCCTGGCAAGATTTACTAATTAAACAGTTGAAACATGTATAGACATTATTTATCTTATAAAGCTTACCCACAGCAAAACAGACATGAAAATGAGGTAAATACTATGGGCAAGATTATAGTTCTTGGAAAAACGAAAAGTCCAGATATGTTTTTGGTAAGCTTTTCTTTCTAAACATGTTTTAAAAGCTGAAAATATTAAGGGCTGGAAGGCCACAAAACTTAACGCATTGTCTTGTCATCCAGTGCAGCACATGGCATTACGCTGCACTACAAAATCTGCAACCTCCCCCAAGAGGCAATTCAAAGACCACAATGGCCATCTTGGCCATAGTAGAGACAATGTTTTCACTCTCACCTCTCTTAAATGTGATTTCTGCTCCAAGGACAACTGTTTTTTTGTCTACATTACTCATGCAATAACACTTTACACATTCTTCCAATAGCCAAGGAGGCTATGACAGGCAGCTTTTATACCTGCCTACAACCACAGTAATAAAGTAATATTAACCCTGTATAACAATGAATTAAATTATCTTTCTCTCTAAAATCTATACTTACAGTTCTCTGAGCTAAGCAATGGAAAAGATCAATTCTGATTAACAAAAAGTATATTTATCCCATTTTCTATTATGCCTCCCCATTCAAAGAATCATATATAGGCACTTAAAATGGGAAAAATGTAGCACTCTTCTTCTATTAAACATTTAATCAGAACTCCAGCAGAAGTTTCTCTCTTCTGATATGAGTGCCATTGAATATAATAAGATTGAAGCAGAGGCTAAATGGTTTGGTGGAAATATTTTTTAGGGAGGAGGCAAAGGTTTTCTCATTAGTTTGTCATTGTTGTGGTTCAAGTTCTCAAAAGGCTGAAAATTTCGCTAGGTCCTTCTCCATCTCAGCGTACTGTTCTTTAAGCCTCTCCATGGCTTTTCTGTGCTCTTCATCCACTTCAGCCCTTTTGTTGGGTTGTTCCTTCATGAAATCCTCCCATTGGAGTAAATGCTGTTTCTCACTAGCTATTAAATGGTCATTATGAATCTGGGAAAAGAAAATTTGAAAGTCACACGACATTTTCCAGACAATTATTTCATAACTTTATCTCTTGAGATTTGGTTCCTGTAACAATCAGCTGGTAAGTCACAATGATAAAACTGCATTATAGTTTTAATGTCCGCCAAGAAAATGACATATTAGAAACATCTAAGACTTCTTTTACTACAACTGAAGAAGGATATTCACATTTCTGAAATTTCAGAAGTGTCTAGTATCTTTAAATGACAAAAACTAAAACAATCCAAGTAATTTTTATACTTCTATTTCTCTGCGAATTCCCTTTAATTGCAAATTTTTAAATCAATTTTAAGGAATATATGCCAAAATAATCATTATTATAAGAAATTAAAATGCCTGTCTTAGAGGAAATATTTTTAGATACATTACAAAAAATCATGGATTACTAGTCACCAGAAGAGAACTCAAGAAATCTCTGATTCAGTTCTAGTCCTTGAAGGAAACCAACACCTAAAATACCTGTGTTCAATATCTAAGTTCTTCTTGAGATGTTCCTTAATATTTCCATATAAGGATAAAAAGATTTTTTCTTATCATCACCATATACAAATGAAACACTGTACCAATAAAAAAGGCATACATTTAGTTTTCTCCCCAAAGTATAATTTCTATTATTAACTTTGAACATGTACAACAAAGAGCTAAATAGAAAAAGAGTATGAAAAAATAACTTCATATCTCTACTTCAACTATTCTACATGCATGCCTGTAGCAGTTAAGTTTTGATACAGACTAAGTCTTAGTAAACAAACAAAAACTGTGACAGATGCAAACCATAAAAACCTACAAAGCACCTGAAGTCATTACTAATGACTAATACAATTCTACTGTATTAACTCCAGAGCTCTAATGAGAAAGGGACACCCAATATACTCAGATATGGGTAATTTAGATACTAGCCTTCAAAAAAACAGCTACTAGGAAAAAGATGGAAACCATGTTTTCAGGCCATCTATAATGTCCTTGCTGTGCTATTTTCTCTCTCATCTGGGTCATGATGACAAGCAGGATGAAGGATAAACCAACACGCTCGAAGTACCTATGAAATACCTATTTATGCCAGTTGTTTTGCATAGCTTATCTACTTCTAAAAACCCTTCTTTATAAGATATGTTAATTCTCATTTTACAAAGAAATTCAGGCTTTAAGGGGACTTCTTTATTCTCCTTGGTCACTCACCCTAATAGCTGGCTTGTAGATTCAAACTTATCTCTTTCTGACAACTAAACCTAGGCCTTTTCTGTGAGAGTGCAAATAAGATCTTTCCAGAGGAAGTTTTACATATGTAGTTACAAGTCTCTTTTACAAAACAAAAGCAAGCTCTTGCAAAAGCTTTTCTGCCAAGCTGATGGGAAGTTCCTCAGCACCAAGACTTTTCAACTGAAAAGTTGCTGAAGCCAATCTGAAGTTTGAGTTTAGTCAAACATTCCATAAAATCTGTCCCCCAGATCCTTGGGATCTGAATAGGTATTACAATGGTAGGGGGAGAAGGTTAAGGAGGAGTTTGCTCATCCAATAAATCTGGGAAATGGGTTAAACAAAATTCAACACATTGGTTTTTAACTTTTCAGCATTATTAATTGTAATGCTCCAAAAGATGCATGAAGAGTTTATTAAACTCTTGATGGAACTTTTGTAAAAACTGTTAATAGTCTAAGAGAAAAAGCCATAGTCAGACTAGAAAGAGAAAAAACTGTAAATAAACTTGATCAAAATGGTACCTTGCTTTAGCTTTTTATTTTTAATAAACACAGAATACTAAACATGCATGCTCAGATATTATTTCATTTATTCATTTTTTAAAGAAGATGAGAGGTAATACATGTCTATTTCTTAGCTCTGCCTGAGGTCCTTAATAAAAAGTAAAAATTATTATACAAATCATAAGCAAGGTATCTTGAAGGCAGATCACTCTATATTTTTTCCTCCTGCCATTTGTTTTTGTTCTTTAATTTTAATAATTTAATTTTAGCAACAGATTCTTGTAATAATTCAAACAATACAGACAACTCGAATAAAATAGGCTTTGCCTCCCATTTGTATATTCAATTCATTCCTCCTTGATGTGCCCTCTATTAACCATTGGCCTCATAGTTCAGATGAAAATAAGATGAAAGCTGGCGACTCCCCAACCCAAATGAAAATCTAGTCTTGTTGTCTTATCAAGATGTCCTCAAAATCATCCTACTTTATCTTTTCTTAGTCTCCCACCTTTCAGAATAATAATTGCTATGCATTCTTCACAATTATTAATAGTAAAGAAAGAAGGAGGGTGAGGCCGCTTATACATTCATATAGTGACAATACTGTAGTATTCATAGATAAATAAAACTCAGCTACCTGGAAATAACATCTATCTGAAACTTAGTTAAAAACTATGTAGTAAGAACTTTAAGCCATCAAAAAAAGTGACATCACAAAGTCCATTTACAAGCACTGCAGTATTTATGAAAAGTTCTTCTGATTCTGAACTTATTTGACCTACGTTACACACAATTTTAACCAGTTTAGTTAACTACACAATACTAAAAATAACAAATTAGAAGAAGAAAAGTCTGATAAAGGACTGGAGAAGAAATGACAGGCATCAGCCTTACAGCAAAGGAGAAAGATACAAAAAGACATAGTATCTGAGGGCACTTGGAACAGACATGCAACACAATCTCTCTCTCTCAATATAAAATTTGATATTCTCAATAATGACTAATTCTTACAGAATGTTAATCTGTACCATTTAATAAATTAAAAAAATAAAGGTATGGATTATATTTTTAAAGATTTTCATCCAAAGTAGTTAAAATAATAAAAGCACTGTGCTTAAAGAAGATAAAAATCTTGGCTTTGTTGTAAATCTGGCTATATGGAACAACACTGGTGGTTCCTAAAAAAATTAAACATAGAATTATCATATGATCTAGTAATTCCACTACTGGGTATATACCCCAAAGAATTAAAAGTAGGGACCTGAATAGATATTTGTACACCCATGTTCATAGCAGTGTTACTCACAATAGCTGAAAGGTGGAAGCAACCCAAGTGTCCACAGAGGAATGGATACACAAAATGTGGTATACACATATAAAGGAATATTATTCAGCCTTAAAAAGGGAGGAAATCCTGACATATGCTACAACATGGATGAATGCTGAGGTCATTATATTGAAGAAATAAGCCAGCAACAAAAAGACAAATAGTGTATGACTCCACTTACGTGACATACTGTAGTACAGTGCTCTATGTAGTACACAGGGTAGTCAAATTCATAGAGACAGAAAGTGGAAGGGTGGTTGCCAAGAGTGGGGATAGAAAGGAATGAGGAGTAACTGTGTATTGGGTACAGGGTTTCAGTTTTATTATACAAGATGAAAGAGTTCTGAAGATGAGTGATGGATGCACAAAAATGTGAATGTACTTAATACCAGTGAAATGTACATTTAAAAATGGTTAAGAAGGTAAGTTTTATGTTATATGTATTTTACTATAATAAAAAAACATTTTAAATCAAATTTCAGAGGGTTATTCTTAAATGAAATCACTTACATTCTTAAATAAATGCATATATTTGTTTTCAGGATAAACTCAGAAAATGCCAACTTTAAAAGAAAATGAAGAGAAAGTTTATTAATGAGTTACAACTGTGCACCAAAAGTAATTAGCTGTAATGATGGATGTTGTCTATACTTAGCAAAATGTATACAGTAAGTTACAATAGAGAAATAGTAATAAACTGAGCTATCTCTGTGTGTGTGTGTGTGTGTGTGTGTGTATCTCCCATTAGAGAGAAATTTAAATAGAAACCAATCCTGAAACTAAACTATGTCTGGAACCAGGTCTATAAATGAATTCTGGAATATATAATAAGACTACATTTTTGCATGTATTAGTCTAAGTCAGTATTTTCAACTGGGAGGGGGCATGATTTTGACACCATCCCCGCCCCACGGAGATTTCTGGTCATTATAATGTGGGTTGGAGAAAGAGGTGCTACTGGCAACTAGTGGATAGAGCCTGAGATGCTGCTACATCCTACAATGCATGGGACAGTCTCCAAAGCAAGGAATTATTGGGTCCGAAATATCAATAATGGTGAGGTTGAGAAACCTTGGTCTAAGGGAAATTTTTGTCCCAATGCATGGGACAGTCCCCAAAGCAAGGAATTATTGGGTCCGAAATATCAATAATGGTGAGGTTGAGAAACCCTGGTCTAAGGGAAAATTTTGAATAATCCATGTTTGAAAGGTCTTTTGGAACATCTGTCAGTAATATATGTGCCATTAATTTTACATTTGCCTCATGCAGACATAGGAAAAACTATAATATTTACTTTGGCAAGCAATGTCAGTATAATAACTGTAAATATTATTTTAAGTAGAATATGTACTGATACGTTATTTTACATTTTCAAACTCTATCAAGAACAATGTATAAGTCACATGATCCTATTGCCCTCATGAAAAAAATCATAAAACTAAATCTGATAAATATTTGGAGACAAGATGAATCAAAAGCATTCATGTTTACTTCATTATTATCTCTAGTCTGTTAATAGGGCTTCAAAAGCTGACGCTTGTGCATGAGCCTGAATTTAAATTATTGACAGATATTATTAACCATCTCATCTTCCTTGATGGCATACTTTTAAGAGCCAGTGAATTTTATAAGCCAATTGTATTTCACTTCACTACTCTTATAGCTAGCACCCAAAATGCAACTTTATATTAGTGGTAGTTTTAAAGACATGTCAAATAACTGGGGAATGTGCATTTATTGTTCTTCTGAGTGTACTTTTAGATATCAATTGTGGGAAATGTGACTTAGATGAATGACGTTTATCAATTTACTTCCTACAGAATTCCACAAATTGTCTTGATATAAAAGAATTAATGATTAATGGTAATAGTCTATTTTATTACATTACTACTCCCATCTTTCTTTGTTTTGAGAGCCATTCAAATATACAAAATGTAGCCAACAGTATAACCAAAGGCAACAATTAACATTAGGTTGTAAAATGCAGCGAGAGGTCAGGTTTTTGCTTTGTATTAATATAAATTTGCTAAATGAAAAATTAAACTTTATCTTTACAAACTATGTATATGCAGTCTAAAAACCTCTGCCATGTCAAAGCAGAAAAGGCTAGAATATGGCAGTAAAAAAAAAGAGAAACCTTTAAAGATCCATACTTAAAATGTTCTGCTAATTAGGCAAGCTGTTAAAAAAAAGAAAGAAAAGAAATAAAGACTTAAGATTAAAAGTTTATTCCAGTAAGAATGCAAAGAATTTTTACTTTTCTCTGAAAAACACATTTGTTTAAGAATTTAAGCCGGTTACTTTTATTAAATTATCTTGAGAAAAAAAAAAGTCAGGGTGGCTATTTACACATGTAAGTCTCATGGACTCCAAACCAATTCTTGTATATTCCAAAATATTAACTTTTAATATGTATTCCATAAAAATTAGTTTAATAACACTCTAAGACATAATACCTATAAAAATGTACTTCAGACTAAAATATTCTTCTTCTTATTATTTTTTTTATTTCGGCATATTACGGGGGAACAGATTTTAAGGTTTCAATAAATGCCCTCCCCCCCCCAAGTCTGAGTTTCCAGCATGACCATCCCCCAGATGGTGCACATCTTACTCCTTATGTATATACATACCCACCCCCCTCCCCCCTGCCCAATACCCTATTACTGTAGTACCTATGTGTCCACTTAGGTGCTGTTCAGTTAATACCAATTTGCTGGAGAATATATGTGGTGTTTGTTTTTCCATTCTTGGGAAACTTCACTTAGTAGTATGGGTTCCAGCTCTAACCAGGAAAATATAAGATGTGCTATATCACCATTGTTTCTTAGAGCTGAATAGTACTCCATGGTATACATATACCACATTTTATTGATCCATTCTTGGATTGATGGACACTTGGGCTGTTTCCACAGCCTTGCAATTATGAATCTTATTTCTTGAGGTCATTTTTTTTGTTTTTTTTTTAAACCATGGGACAATACCTTTTAATTTGGAAAGTCACGAATGGGAAGGCTTCTCAAGTGCTTCACCACTCTAACACACTACAGCAAGACTCTTATTCACACGGTCATTGCCTGCATCTTAAATAGCTGGCAGGGGAAAAATTATCATCCCACACTGGGGTAGTGACTAACAATCTGCAAAGCCATTTCACATTAATTTTATAATGCAATTTACTCCATCATTATATCAAGTAAAAGAACAGGTATTTATTTTGTAGATGTGGAGCTTGAAGCTCAGGCATTTGTCCAAAGGCATACAGCTAGTTAATAAAGGGAACCAACCACTAGAAACAGAAGAAACCAGGCATTTTTTTTTTACCCAATCTGGTCATTTTTCTAATACACATATGGCTAATATACTACATGTGAAAACAGTGCCAAGTGACAAGATAAACTATTTCAATTATCATTTAATTTTAGGTCCATTCTGCTCAAGAATGATAAGAATTACCATTTATCAGAATTATAATTGCTTTGACCATATATTAGAAAGACAGAACAATTAACGTGTGAGTGCATACTCACCTATATTTGCTTAAACCACGAAGCAACATGTCAGAGAGGCAACGTGTAGCAATGGAATACTTCTTACCTTTTATTTTGAAAGCCAAGAGAATTACATGTATTAAGGTACAGCCAGTGTTCTATTGGATAAAGTTATGCGGCTTCTCAAAAGCGAATGCTCCTCGTGCCCCCAACAACAAACTGTTTAATGTAGCATTCAACATCCTCCACAGTCATCTCCCAAAATATCCATTTAGATGCTCTACACACTAGCTGACTACTGACTTTTCACATCTTTGGCCTTTGTTTACACTATATTCCTTACCCTACAATATTTTTCTTCCTATCTTCTAGCAACTGAATTTTTACTTGCCAATCAAGGTCAGGCTTGAATGCCACCACCTTCCTAAAAAATTACTCCTTTGCCAAGATCTCACAAAGTTCTCTGCAATTTGATCACAGCTTTTACTTTATCCTACATTGTATTTGTGTTAGTGGTTGGGACTCCTAGACTTCTAGCTTCTTGAGTGTAGGAAATGCCTTAAACTTAACTAATTAAAATCTATCATCTCTAGTGGTACCTAGCAAAGTAGAGGATTGAAAAAATTCTGTTGTCCAGCCCAGCATGGCCCACTTATGCCGACATAACTGCCTGCCCTTACAGCACTCTTCGCACACCGTGCAAGCACCATGTCCCGACACAAACCTTCCTGGTCCTGGTGGTGCCTCGCCGTTCCATCCACGCGCTCAGCAATGCTCCTGCTTCCTGACCTGGCCTGCTGGATCCTGCTACTACTCTTGGGTAGGCTTCCCACCTGTCTTAAATGTCAAGTCCTTTCGGTAAAGCTTAAACTATCAAACTGCTGAACTTTCAAACTTTATATCAACATCTAGAGTTGAGCAGAGGGTGTAGATACTGAAACTCTGGGAAGGTTCATTCCGTTATATTTTTATACAGTGACATATCTAAACTATTATTGTGGATTAACCACAATACATTCCAGAGAAATGGAGACAGTAACATTTGTCAATACATACATATATGCAAAAACGCATTATTTTCAGAGTGACTTAGTACTTTCAATATTTCTTAATAAATGTAAGATGTATGTATCGTTATTTTATTTTATTTTTATTTTTATTTTTTTGAGACAGAGTCTCACTTTGTTGCCCAGGCTAGAGTGACTGCCGTGGCGTCAGCCTGGCTCACAGCAACCTCAATCTCCGGGGCTCAGCGATCCTACTGCCTCAGCCTCCTGAGTAGCTGGGACTACAGGCATGTGCCACCATGCCCGGCTAATTTTTTGTATATATATTTTTTAGTTGGTCAATTAATTTATTTCTCTTTTTGGTAGAGACGGGGTCTCGCTCAGGCTGGTTTCGAACTCCTGACCTTGAGCAATCCGCCCGCCTCGGCCTCCCAAAGTGCTAGGATTACAGGCGTGAGCCACCGCGCCCGGCTGTATCGTTATTTTAGAGCAATGAACAAGTTACAAAAAATACTTCATGAAAATTGCAAGTGAAAACATCAAATTGTCACAGGAACTTAAATTCTTATGCTGTTTTTCCACATCTGAATTTAGTTAAGATATAATTCCAATAAGCAAAGCACTGCCCAGCAAGTGATTCACATACTCCTATGACTATTTATTAAGTAAGCTATCCACAGTCATGAATGCTTCTTTTTCAGAAATACAGATAATATACTCAATACTTCAGGCTCACAGGAAAGATTTTTATTTCCAATCTGGTGGGTATTTATTGATACATGTAAAAGTTCCTATTTTTTCATTTTCTCTCTCCTCCATGAGATGAATACCACTTTCAGGGAAATGATGGACATGTTGAAAAGGAAAAAAGATTTATGCAATTTCAAATATAAAAATATTGATGGAGTGACCATGTGACCACACCTCCTCAACACATCTTCAATGAATTAGCTATTTTTTCAATCTTTGTAAATCAGTGCATAAAAGAAAATACAGTCAGAAAATTTTCTGATTAAAAGTAATTGCTAATATAATATAACCATAATAAATACCCAGGAGTTATATACCCCATTATCTAAATGATTTATTTTTTACCTTTTTTCGTTCCAGTTCCCTCTGTTGTAGTCTACAGACTGAATCATTAGCTGCTTGCACTGAAATAAAACAGACAATGGGTTTTCAATCAGCAGCCCTTGTTCAAGGACAGACTTACCCGGGGTGCAGGGAATACTTGGATTGTTTTAGATCTCAAAAAACTGACATTATTTTGGTGGCGGTGGTGGGGTGGCCAAAAGGGACAAGTAAATTTTGCCACTATATTCAGGATCTCACAATTAGGACAACCATAATTTCTTAGGCTTTGAGCTACAAGCCAAAGGGCATTTAATGACATCCAATGACAAGCTGAAACAATCACATCAGAGTTCTCTAAAAAGATAAAAAATGCCTGATAAATTTATTATTATATTCTGATTATGACTTTACATTGTCTCTCTGAGCCATTAACTCCTCCCCACCCCCCACTTTCTCATTCATACTACTACTCTCTTGCAGGTAATACCTACTGTCTAGATTGCTTCAACAACTACTATTCTTCTTGCCTTTGCTCTTGTCTTCTAATTCATTCTGGGTGCTGCTGCAAAATATAAATTTCTCTAGACCATTTCTATTAAGTCACTTCCCTTTCTTAAGAACCCAAACTGCTAGTAATAGTATTAATATTTACTATGTGCCAAGACCTATGCTAATAACTTTACATATATTACTTCCCTCTTAATTTAATCCCACATTCCTACTAAGAAATGATTACTATTCCATTTTACAGATGACAAAACTGAGGCACAGAGAAGTGAAGTTGTTACTCACGGAGGTCACACAACTAATACGTACAGGAAAATGGATTTCAAATCAGATCTTTCTGAATCTAAAGACGAGGCTCTTACCTTCAACACTCTACTGCCTTTTTTATAATGTCATTGATGAAACCAGTTTTAATTCTTCAGTTGTTCAAACTTTGTCATCTACCCAGGTATGTTTTATTCCTGTTCATAAATGTTCTCACTTACTTCACCCAAATAAAGGCATTTAGTTTGTAGGTTAAGAGTCAGCCTTAGTCAAATCTAGGCTTGAGTACTTAGTTGTGTGACTGATCTTGGGCATGACTATCACTCATTCATTAGTCAAGTAGTTACTGAGCATCTGCTATGTGTGAGGCACTGTTCTAGTTGCTGCTCCTAACCTCTCAGTACCTTAGTTTCTTATTTGTAAGTAAAGCATAACAGGCTGGGCATGGTGGCTCATGCCTGTAATCCTAGCAATTGGGGAGGCCAAAATAGGAGGACTGCTTGAGCCCAGGAGTTTGAGATCAGCTTGGGCAATATAGAGAGGCCTCATCTCTACAAAAAACAAAAAAATTAACTGGGCATGGTGGTGCACGCCTATAGCTGCTTGGGAGGCTGAGATGGGAAGATCCCTTGAGCGCAGGAGTTTGAGGCTGTGGTGAGCTATGACAGCACCACTGCACTCCAGTCTGGGTGACAGAGGGAGTCCCTGTCTCAAAAAACAAACAAACAAACAAAACATAAAAATGAGTATAAAAATTAACAACAGGACTTCAGAATTGACATAAAAAGTAAATGAGATAACAGAGTAGATAGTATGCTTAAAAGTAAAAATTTAAATATTAATAATAAAAACCATTTAGAATAATTCTTCACACATAGTAAGCAAATAGTCATTGTTACTATGATTCTAATTACTGTACTATCCCTACTGAAAGTGCTTTCCCCACTTCTTTCCTCTAACTAAAATGTTATATTTCAAAAGCTCAGTTCAAGGTTTTACGACCTTCATAAAGCCTTCCCAGATTAGTCCTTTCCCTATAAGGATTTTCCCTTATTTGAAATTCTTTCATCAGGTATGTATATATCCTACCACTTTATCTTGCATGCTTAACTGGAGATTTGTCTAATTGTTTTACATGCCTTCCTACCCCACCTCAATCCGGACCCAACTAGGTCACAAGTTCCACAACAGGGCAGGGACTGCAATTTCTTTTTCAGAAAAATGTTAGACCTCTCCCTGTGGGAATATGGTAAAAGAGAAGGATTTTGTTTTCAAAAAGTCTTGTTTTTATCTGTAACCATTAATTTTAGTTATATCAAAGATAATACTTCAGTACTGAAAATTAGGTTCCTAATCATTGTTTTTTCTAAAAGAAAAGATTACAACAAAACAAAACAGTAGTTGATTAGATCTGCCTTCTTTCTGTGGCATATTAATATTACATCATTTTTCCCAAGCAGTGGTGTTATCGTTTCCTGGGTCAGTTCCCTCCCCCTCCCCGGGCTCTGTGAACTTAAGTTAAAAATCCATTTTGTGGTCTTTAGGTGCTTCATCATTCTCAGATCACTCTGCGCTTAATCTAAAAGAAGAGTTACAGGGCTATGTCACTTATTTTGTCATTCAGTACATCCTTTAAAAATGTAACTAGAACACATCTGACAAAGGCACACTTTTGTTCCATGTCAGGATTCTGTTTATGTTTACGCAGAACATCCATTTTTAAAATTTCAGTCCCTTTGAAATAGCTCACTTTTTAACCCTTCAGCTACACAATAGAAAAGGTTTGCTTTCTGAATTTATAAAATCTGCTTTCCTAAAATCTGAGAAAATTGCCTAACTATACCAAACATTCTCTTTCTAAACAATCAGTGAGACCAAAAGGAAAAGACCCATTTCTTTGAAGCTTCCTATCACTTCCATACCACTTACTGGTTATACCTAATTCAGTGTGAAGCAATTTTCTCAGTGTTTTAGGAGACTATACTAACTTAAAGTTAAGAATTTATCAAATGTTTTTCTCTTAACCAAAAGATTATTCAAGTAGATTCGTGCCACATACACAGTTATTGTGACACATACACAGTTAACCATATCCTGGTTTTCCTCACATAAAAGAGAAACAAATTCATTCTACTATGGTGTCTATGTGAAACCTCAAATACATACATAAGGAAATAATTTCAGGACTTCTGGTTCCAAAATGGTGGTGTAGAAGCAAGCTTGGTTCACTCTCCCCACAGAAAATCAAAAAAATATATACCGTGCTGAGATTATCACCAGTAATATTCCAGAACTAAAATAAAACAATGAGGTCCCAGGGAAAAAGAAGAGTAAAAAAACTGAGCAGACAGTAAAAGAACTGAACTTCCATATCCACGATGCCCCTCAATCTACCCAGCATTAAGTGTGTGGAAAATTTCCCCAACTCCTGGTCTTTACACGGAAAAAGTGAGATTGAGGTAGACAACCAGCTTTCCCACTATCTTGGGTTCTCTAGCAGGAAATCTATCCCTGCTTCAACCTCTGGGAAGCACTGGGAGTGCCTAAAGGGAGAAATATCCCTGAGGACAGCTAGAGACAAAGGGGACAAGTAGAACTACCATTCCCAGCCCTGGAAACTCTGCTCTTTAACTCAGTCAAAGGAGATGCCATATCAGAGTGGCTGTTCAGCAGCAGCATGCTGTAGGAGGTTCATTCCACAGGTCCCCTGGGCACAGCCTCCTAGACAGCCTTCCCATACTGCTGGAATACCCCCTTGGGGTATACCTCCCCAATTCAGGATGGGCAGTACACTGATTGTTTACTAGAACCAAGGCAACTTTGGGCTTAAGGACCCATCTACTGTTGAAAAAGAGGCGGCACCCTAGTAGAAAAACAAAAGAAAATCAAGTAAATTTTAAATCAAAAAAACAAAAGAAAATCAAGTAAATAATCTCTAAGCAAACATATTCAATAAAAACCAAAACAAGCCAGACAGATACAACTGGAATAAATAACCCTTCCATGCAAAGACACAGACATACATTCACAAGAAACAACAGCAAATAGAGAACCAAGACCTCGCCCCCTACGGACAAAGCAAAAATATAGGGACTGACCCTAAGAAGGTAGTGATATATGAACTCCCTAACCAAGAATTTAAAATAGCAGTTTTAAGGAAACTCAGTGATCTACAGGATAACACAGAAAAGCAATTCAGAAATTTATCAGAAAAATTTAACGAAGTTGAAATAATAAAATTAAACAGAAATCTGAGAACTAATAAATACATTTGCTGAACTAAAAAAAAATCACTAAAAGCTCTCAACAGCAGAATGGATCCAGCAGAGTAAAGAATCAGTGAGCTCAAAGATAGGCTCTTTGAAAACACACAGAGGAGAAAAAAGGAAAGAATAAAAGGAAATAAAGATTGTCTGCATGATATAGAAAATTACCTCAGAAGACAAAATCTAAGAATTATTGATGTTCAAGATGAACAAGAGCAAGGGGTAGAAAGCTTATTAAAAAACAAACAAACAAACAAACAAAAAACCAACACAAAACTTTCCAAAACTTCAGAAAGATATAAATATATCCAGGGATAGGAAGGTCAGAGAACACCAAACTGATCTGATCCAAATAAGACTACTCCAAGGCATATAATAACCAAACTCTCAAAAGAAGAGAGGATCCTAAAAGCAGCAAGAGAAAGGAAGTAAATAACATACAAAGGAACTCCAGTTTGTCTGGCAACATACTTCCCAACAGAAACCATACAGGCCAGGAAGGAATAAATAAGCAACAAAATGGCAGTAAGTTCTTACTTATCAATAATAATACTGAAGGCAAATGGACTCAATTCTCAAAATTAAAAGGCACAGAGTGGCTAAATGGGTAGAAACAAGACCCAATCTACAAGAAACCTACCTCACCTATAGAGAGATACACACAGACTGAAAATGAAGGGATGGAAAAAGACATTCCATGCAACTGGAAACCAAAAAAGATCAGGATTAGCTAAATTAATATCAGATAAAATAGACTACAAATCAAAAACTGTATAAGAGACAAAGAAGGTCACTATATAATGATAACGGGATCAATTGAGCAAGAAGCTGTAAGAATTATAAATATCTATGTAGCCAACATTTGAGCTCCCAAGTATATAAAGCAAACATTAATAGATCTAAAGGGAGAGAAGACTATAGTGCAATAATAGTAGAGGACTTCAACATCTCACTCTCAGTAACAGATCACCCAAAGCATAAAATCAACAAAAAAACATGGAAGTTAAACTATACACTAGACCAAATATGCCTAACTGACATTT